AGCGTCCTCAGCGACCTCAGGTGACCCTCAGAATGGACCCCGGAGAGCACGGAGGCGGGGAGAGGGCGGGACCTGTAGGTTGAGTCGTGCACCTGGGCGCTGAAGGCCGGGCGGGCTCTCCTTCCAAGCCACCCTGGGACGGCCAGCGGGGGTCCTGAGGGACGGTCTTTATATGAACCTTTTTTGCAGGTGAGAAGAGAAATTCCTCTTCTGTTTCCTGCTGCCCGTCAGACCTGACCTGAGCCAGACAAAGCCAGCTTCCCTGTCAGAGCTGTTTCCTGTCCTCTGCCTCTCAGTCAGGGGCTCAACACACTCAGTGTCGCCGTGCTTTGCTCCTGGGGTCCCCTTACCCTCACCCTCCTTCCGCATTTGCTTGGTGACCAAGTCCTGTGTCCCTGCCTCCCACATGCCTGATCAGAATAAATTCTCCTCTTCCTGTCCCCACTGCTACCTCCTGAGTTCAGGCTTGTGGTCTGGGGCTGGTGGCTTTTTTTTTAAATATTTTTTTAAAATTTTATTTTATTATGCTATGTTAATCACCATACAGTACATCATTAGTTTTTGATATAGTGTCTTTAATTCATTGTTTGCATATAACACTCAGTGCTCCATGCAGTATGTGCCCTCTTTAATACCCATCACTGGGCTAACCAATCACTCCACCCCCTCCCCTCTAAAACCCTCAGTTTGTTTCTCAGAGTCCATAGTCTCTCAAGGTTCGTCTCCCCCTCCGATTTCCCCCCCTTCATTTTTCCCTTCCTGCTATCTTTTTTTTTTTTTAACATATAATGTATTATTTGTTTGAGAGGTACCGGTCTGTGATTCAGCAGTCTTACACAATTCACAGCGCTCACCATAACACATACCCTCCCCAATGTCTATCACCCAGCCACCCCATCCCTCCCATCCCCAACCCCTCCAGCAACCCTCAGTTTGTTTCCTGAGATTAAGAATTCCTCATATCAGTGAGATCATATGATACACGTCTTTCTCTGACTGACTTATTTCGCTTAGCAAATACCCTCTAGTTGCATCCACGTCGTTGCAAATGGCAAGATTTCATTTTTTTTGATGGCTTCATAATATTCCATTGTATATATATACCATATCTTCTTTGGCTTTTACCTGAGCCTCCACACCGGCCTGGATGCCTCCTGTCTTTCCTCTGCCAGTAGATCCTCCACATGCCATCAGTTCAGTTTGCTTTCTTAGCTGCACATCTGTCCTCATCAACCCGGTACCGAAAACACTGGTGAGTGCTCTCCTATTTACACTCCATCACCTCAGGGCCCCAGGAGGGCCTTCCAGTGGCACCAGCCCTCTCTGTCCTTATAGGCCAACACTGGGTCACTGTGCTGCGGAGTCCCTGTACCCTGAGCACACATACTCTACCAAGACTCCCTGCTGCCTGGAATGCTCACCTCCTCTTCCCCTGACCAACTCCTGTCCTCCTTCCAACCATAACTTTAGCATCCCCTGTACTGCCCCACATCCAAGTATCAGGCACTCTTCTCTGCCAGTTCTGGGAGCACTCTGTACTTTCCTTCGTACCTCCCTTCACTGGGCTCTCACCTCCCAGTGCTCTAACTGCTCTCCAAGAGTCAATGGCCCCCTCAGGGGCACCGAGTTCCTCGCAGGCAAGGACTGTGTCTTCCTCATTTCTGGAACCCAGGTACCCAGGACGCGGTAGTCACACAGAGAGGACTGCTTCGTCTTCCAGTGAGCCGTACCTTCTCTTTGCAGAATCTGGAAGGAACAGGAGTGCTGGCCGTGAGGTTAGGGCCAGAGGGTATCTTCATGGAGTTTAGGCCTCAGGGCTGCAGAGACTGTTTTCTCCACACCATGATTCTGTCCCCATAATACACCACGTGTTCCTTTTAGAAAGTCCTTGCCAGTTTTCACCCTGGCTCTTTGCCGTGCCCACATCCCCAGGACATCGCCTCTTCTGAGCCCATGGCACCCGCTCAGTGCAGAGCTCCCTGTCCCCGATGGCCGGTCTGAGCACTTGCCTTTGCAGTTTCTCATGCTTCTGTCCAGTGACCTCTGTCCACCAGGCCCCTGGCTGCAGCAGCCCCTTCGGAACTGGCCACCACTCTTTCTCTTGGTGCTCATCACTCTGGCTCTGCCCTCCTCTTTGGCCCTGATGTTCTCCTGCCTAGCTGATTCTCTGCTCAGTGCGATCCCTATGCACCACCTCCCCTTCTCTCCTTCCCTGAGCCTATCACGCATTCTTTCACTTGCCAGGAGGTGCAGACTGTGTGGTGGAGAATGCCACTGCCTCCCCCACCCATGTGCTTCTTTGACTTTGAGGCCCAGAGAGGCTTCTAGTTTGTTCCTGCTACGTGTTTTGCGGCACTACTGGTCTGGGACCAGCTTGACCCAATCCCTGGTTTCCCTCACTTCTTGGCAGGTCTGGTTCCTCCTCTCTGAAGTACCTTTTGCCCATCTTTCTATTGGGTTGCTTGTGGTTTTTGTACCGAGTTGTGGGAGCTCCTTTTTTTTTTTCTTTTCTTTTTTTTCTTAATTTTTTTTTTTTTAAAGCAGGCTCCACACCCAACGTGGGGCTCGAACTCATGACTAAGAGTGGCAGTGGGAGCTTTTTTTTGAAGTGTGGATCCTAATTCTAAGGTGGAATTAGGATCACCTTTGTTTGTGTCTCACATTCCTCCTCCTCCCCTGCGGACTGGTTTCCTCCTCTCTTTGCAGGCCTGCTTTCAACTCAGTATTTGCACAGACTACGAATTGTAAGTCACCCCAAAGGTCAGGGAGTGCCCCAGGGCCCCTCCTACCGGAGGCTGCCATCCACCCCCAGCCCTGCCACCTGAGACAGGCAGTCCTAAGAGGAGGTGCCCCAGCATCCAGAACTCTGCCCATGAGAAAGGGCTTCTTCTTGTCTCTGTAATGGACTTGGTTACTGCTTAGCTTTAGTTCTGCGCCCTGGATTCACATGGGAGAAGCCCTGGGGCAGTCGTGTGGCTGTGGAAAGACAGCAAGCCTTGTTTCTTCTGCTCCAGCACTCCCATTTTACCTCCAGATCCTCATCTGGCCCGTTTCCAAGATGCATACTCCCCTAGCCCTGCCTTCCTCTCTCTGCCCCCTGGGCAGCTTTGGTCGGCTTTGTCCCTCCCAACATGGCCCAGATCAAGTGGTCCATCCAGCCTAAGAACTACACTCATTTCTGGTTTTGTTTAAATGACACTCCAAGTGCATGGGAAGAAGCTGTACCATGGGGAACCTGCAGACACAGGTGGGCTACTTGGATGCCACTGGTCAGGTCTGGTGCCTAACAGAATGTGGCACAACAGAGTTGGGACCTTGGGAGTTCTGTAGGCTTCTGGCATCCCCCACCCTTGCATTTCTATTACAGCTTACTGTATCAACTTTAATTGGGGGAGGGAGATGCTCCCTTCCATGTTTCCATCGCTCCTGAGCTCTTCAACATTATCCAAAGGCAAGAAGGTTTACCATTTGGGCATGTTTCCCTAGTTCTTTCTCTGTGAATTCATGCTGTATTACTATTTTGTCATATACTTTTTCATTTAACATTAAGTATTCTTCCACGTTCTGAAAGATTCCTCAGAAGACATCTCACTAAGCTCTGCACGTCATCCTGGAGTGTATTGGATTCCAGACTCTCCCTGCTCAAGACCAACTGACAGATGCTCAGGGATAGCCCAGCATACCTTGGACCCAATGACATCCTCTGCTCAGAAGCTCCAGCACAGGGGGTCCTCCTGAAGCTGTCTGATTTGGAGACACAATGTATTGAGTCTCCCATATCAATGTCAACTTGGACACTGTGCCCAACAGCCTTGAACTGTGGTTATCCTGTTTCCCTGCATTCATTCACCCAGTGCAGAGCCAGAGGTCCCTTTAGGAAGGGCTGGGGGATCATCCTAATGTCTATTTGCCATGGTGCTGTCGTGTCCTTCTGCCTGGGGACCTGGCCACTTTCCTAGTCCATGGTTCTGATGCCACCAGGCCAGGTCTGAGGACCCAGAGGGTTCCTGCAGGACCAGCCAGGAGGGTCTCTGGCTGTACGCAGAATAGAAATCAAATGTGAGCCAGCAGGAGGTGAAAGCAGAGTTTATTGAAGATCTAGAGAAAGTGCAGGAACAGAGTGTCTGGGAGACTCTGAAAGGAGAGGAGAGAGTCTTGTCTTTGTTTGGGGTCTGGGGTTTTTATTGAGGATGGTGGTCTGGTGTACATGTCCCCTCAGGCATCCAGGAATGGTTAGAACAAAGGCGAGGATCCAGGTGTTATTCCTTAGAGCCAGGTGCCTTGGCATCAAGACGTCTAGCACCGGTGGTCTGGAATCAGCCTATGATGGCTTTGTCTGGTCATTCTTATCTGGTCTTTCCTTAGATGTTATCAATTCTGGAGAAATCATTAATTCCTTGTCCTTTACAAGGAGGACATGCACTATTTGCATTATGACACATGTGTAAAGTGGGGGTGCAGGTCCTAGCAAGAATAGAGGCAGGAAAAGGAGCAAAAAGCAGATTTTTACAGAGTCCTTCAGTTTCCCTATTTCAGTTCCACGTCTCAAAACTAGCTCAGGGGCAGAAGCTGGGCTAAGGGGTCGTGACTTGTTTATTGGGGTGTCTGCATTCAGCTTCTTGCTGTCTGTTCTTGCTCTTGTGAATCTCCATTTTGGGCTGTATCTTGGTCGGTTGCCTATCCATTATGTCCCCAGGAAGGCCTCCACCTCCATCACTTTATGGATCATGAGCCCCTAGCTTCTGGCCATTCAGTGCCATCCCAGGGCCTCTACTGCAGTTCTGGTGGTGGGGCAGGGTGGGGGGCAAGTAGGGTTAGTCCCTTTCCTCCCTGACCAGGCTCAGTATGCCCTGCCTCTGTTCTATGGTGACTTCACTCTGGTTGGGGGCCTGGCAGTAGGCTGCCCATCTCTTCCTGGTTTTCCTGGGACTCTTCTGGTTGTAGTACTGCAAGTTCTATAGCAAATCAAGATGGTTGGTCACCCTGCCTCCTGGGATGGAGGGCACCTGTGGGGAAAGACCTGTGTAGTTTTTTGCTCCCTTGAGGGTGTGGTTGATGTACTAGCTCTTTAGGGGAAGGCATGGGCCACTGCCACAGACTCAGAAGTTTGAGACATCTATGGAGTCTGGCTCTTCTGGGGCCTTCCCCTAGATGTCCCTGTTCCTTGTGTCAGGGATGCAAGTTTTCCCAAGTGGGCTTCTGATGTTGACATGACAGACCTGTCTTAGTTGAATGTTTAACCATCTTTGAAGTTCAGCCATTCCTATCAAATCCTGAGTTTGACCTTTGCCTCCAGCCTGTGGTAGGGGCTACTTCGCAAGCTACCAAGGAAACTCTGGGGCTCTCGCTTCATTTTCAGCTTATTAATCACCCTAAGCTTCTCATCTCCTCGTGAACCATCCATGCAGAGAAGTCACCTCCATCCATTCCCATCATCCTCAGAGCTGCCA